GGTAATAGAAATCTTCACCTATCACCAAATAAATCTCTTTACTTCCTGGACCAAGAAGGTATGTTTGACTCTACCCATTAATATTGGTGAATTCAGGATCCCCACCACCAAACCCAAAATTCTCTGCTATGTGTGATCGGTTGAAATCGGGGCATCAAACCGGAACTAAACCGAAATCCGGAGAACAGTTATATTTTTGCTAGAACGAAAACCAGAACCGAGCCGAGAAAAATAGGTATATCGATTAATATCGATTCAGCACCATATAGTTTGGTATCTGTGCATCTGTTTCTTCAGTTGTTGATTTTTTATTTATTTATTTTTTGAAATATACTTTAAATTAACTCAAATTAATCCTAAAATAAGAAATATTTGCACGAAACATATGTTAACTAAATCATTTAATCTAGAACTAAAACGAAACACAATTTTTCAATTATGAAAATATTTCATAATTGATATATTTCATATTTCATAATTTTCAAACAAATACCGTTATTTATATACGCAGAAATTTTGTTATTAAATAAATGCATTGACTATGCTTTCTAAAATAATGAATAAGTATTATAATTATGGGGGAAAAAAAAATGCATACAAAGACATGGCACTACTCATGACGTCGCCTATCTGTTCTCCTGTCTTACAACTCTCATAAGTCTTCGACCAATTAACCTTTGGACCCACCCCATTAAAATTGGCTAATTAAATTAATTAGACTCGGGTTAAAGTTCACTTAAATCCCACCTACCCAATCCACCCCTTTTTCCGATTCCCCCGCCATCACCGCCAACCACTTCGCCACTACATGAGTGGGTCTTGTATATCCTTTCATGTTATCTGCTTACACGTCCCAGCGGGTTACGATAAGAACACCCATTAGTAAAATTGATCAAAATTTTTTCAGGTACAAGCTTTAAAAAGTATTTTAAAAATTGTTAAAAATTTTTTAACAATAAAATTTTTAAGAAGGTAAAAGAAGGCAATTAATTTGATAAATCTTTAAGATTAAAGATTACATAGTTTCCAGTAAATGGAAATTTAAACATTGCTGAGTCATATTTATAATTTTAAAGGGGAAATAAATCGCCAAACCGCAATTAGAAATAATAATAAAAATATATTTAGTATTAAAAAAACAATTTGTAAGATGTTAATTTATATTCATTTGTTAGCAATATAAAATTTGATGAAAACTTTTGTGTATCTGTAAAAACCATCCTTTAATATCAGGTTTAAGTAGATTAATAATATTTTGCTTAAATTGTTTTCATTAATCTCTATATGTTTTTATAACTTTTATATAACAAATAATACTTCTTAAAAATGATATAATTTAACAAATTAAAAACAAATCTTAACATCATTAATAAATATTTAATAAAGTATAAATTTTACAATACATTATATCCATGTTTATATGATTTAAATTAAGTATATTGAATATGATTGAACAAAATATGATTAATGTAGTAAATAATATGTTACAACAATAATAATTAATTTAATTTAAAAATTGTTCAAAAGAGAATAGTAAATAGTAAATGCATATTTGTTTTGTTTATTGACGTCGTTTTTTGACTTTCCCTTCAATGGTTCCTTTACTTTGCCTAGATTTTTTTGACTTCGGTGTTTTAGTCTTTTTTCGTTCACTGAAATCTAACACCTCAGAATCGTCATCGCCACCATATTTTTCCATTAATTTGTCCATAAGCGAATCAAAGTTTTCTACACGAGATTTCTGTCTTAACATAATTTGTTTTTCCAAACTGGAAGTATTTAAATTGTCATCTTTTGCTTTCATTTTCTTTTTAATTTTCTCAGCTTCCTTAGATTCACGTGCATATTTGTTATGACGCTTCTTGCGTTTACTTTCTGGTTCATTAACAAACACATCATATTCTGGAACTTCGTCGGCATTTATCATTTCCATGACAATTTCTTTTAAACGTGGTTCGTCTTCAACTTTGAAAAACGGCACGGCATTCATAATATGATCAATGCTTCCCTTTCCTGCTAAGTATGCTTTCTTTATATCAGACTTCTCCAAATCAGAGCCCACGTATGAATTCTCATAGTTAACTATATCTTCTTCGGTAATTGGTTTGAAGATGGACTTCCATAGGTCGAGCCAATTTGACAACTTACTTTCCACATCATCATCGTCAATCATATTGCGTTCATCATATAAGGCCCGTTTCCCACTATCGGTAAGGACTTGATATAGCTTTGATAGCAATTTAAACTTCTCCGTAGCAGTTTCCTTTTCATTGTTTGCAACTCGGTCTGGATGTACTTTCAGAGACAATTTATAGTATGCTTTCTTAATTTGATTATCCGTGGCAGTTTTCGGTATATCAAATAATTTATAAATATCTCTGGTACCAAACAACTTTTCACATAATTCTAAAGTGGACATTTTCACAGCACTTCTCCGAACTCTTTTTCGTTAAACAAAACAATGTAATTGCAAGCGCGCTAATTAGTGTCGATAAACATGCGACTACTTAAACTTGATTTAGTGTTGCAGCCAAAGCAGCTGTCAGAGAATACATGCAGGGAAACCGAGTGCTAAGATATGTCAATTGAATTGTTTAATATGTAACTATATTTATGTTATTGTCTATTATATTTGCTAATAATTTAGTTAAAATAATTATAACTAGAGCATATAATCAAATGATAAGAAAGCTAATGCAGATAACTTCAAATTTCACGTATACTGTAAATTTAAATGATCAAAGCATACAAAACGTAATTTTAATATTGTATAATAACACAAACAAATGTTAAAATATATATTTTGTAACAGGACCAAACCAAGATTTTCAATTACAAATAAATCGTTTTTATAATATTTGTACAAGAATCAATTTAACATTAGCTTTGGTAGAAATATTTTTGGTTGCTTTGTTGTCAAAATTAACTATTATTAAAACAATTGATTGTAGTGTTATGTTCAGACCGCCAAATTTCCTTAATTTCGTATAAATGAAATTAAGGTAATTTCGAAAGCGTTCATACTGCCCCAAATTAAGAAAATCATATATTTTTTGTTTACAAATCGAATATTAAAAATTACATGTTCCAAACACCATTTGTACCTGGGAAATTTTGAAAGTTGATTGTTATAACTATAAAGGATGGTATTCAGTAGTTTTATTAGCTTTAATGGATTTCAGGTATGTGAATTATTATTTTTCACTCTATTTTAAATTAATAAAAGTTCAAATTTAAAAATATTAACTACTTTCAAAATATTTCCCAGTTTTATTAAAATCAACTGTCATTGACATTTATTTAAAAAAACTGTCACTTGTTTGTTATCACAACTTTATCTTTTGCTAAAAATTTATTTAATCTTATGCATTTCAAACGTCTCTTAATTTCAGCCTTCGTTTCAACGAAATTAAGGCCAATTTCCTTTATCACGTGCTAACTTCAAAACAGAATTTTGTATGGAAAACACATTTTAATTTCACTGAAACGAAGATGAAATTAAGATTTTGTACAGTATTAAGACCGGTATTCTTCACTATCTGCTCCCAGATAATTGTTTGATACTGTTTGCATCTTCCAGTTGATGTTTTTGTTATTATTGTAACCCACGAAGACCTAGAAGCAGATAACATGAAAGGTTTTACAAGACAAATACTTGTGTTATAATAATTTAACACTGTGTTATTTAGGTACTTGCTAACTTATAGTAATGAGTGACGGTTTACATTATAATGAGCACATTTATGCAGCTGATAGTACTTTTATAAACTTCACTTAATAGGTCTATTCCACGAGCTACTCGTAGTAATACTCAAGTAAAAGACAAGTAAAGTACAAACTGAGAGCGTAACACAATTAAAGTGCGAAATTACGGTCTTTACACCTGTTTTCATGGAACAGCTTTGTGTAAAGTCTGGTAAGAACACCAGTGCCGCGCAAATAAACTACACAAAGATTTAAATACAAACCAAAATAGCTTATTTACCCATCAACACAAATTTTACTTCAAATATAAGGTCTGTTCCACGAGTTACTCATAGTAACTTTGAGTAACACTGTGTGTACACAAATGCGTTCCACCAGCAAATTTGTGAGTAAATGAGAGCATCTGAGAGAGCGTAACATCCCTGTTGAAATTTAAAAATGTTACACAGACTTTACTTATGCATTTTATATGAAGTAAAATTTGTGTGATGTGTAAATCAGCTGTTATGGTTTGAATTCAAATTTTTGTATTGTTTGTTTGCGCGGCATTTATGAATGTAAAAAAATTCTGCATTTTTAAGTAAAACAACTGTAATAAATAAATATTGAAAAGGATAAAAACATAATAAATATTTGATTAAGTGATTTAATTAAGACAACACAACAAGAATATAACGTGGTTAATACACTTCGAGATAATGACTCTGACGATGATGTTGAATTGGTGTATTCGATATTACATAAAAAAAAAGAAAACGTGTGTGTATAGAAAATATGACGACAAGGAATTCAAAACTCATTTCCGCATTTCGCTGAGCCTTTTTAATTCTTTGGCTATACAATTTCAAAATCATGTTGCTGTTTTTTTATGTTTTGCTGGCGACGAAGCATGTTGTTTTAGAGATTTATTAGATCGCTTTAATCTCTCTTTATCGTCAGTAAACCGAGTTATAAGTAAGATGATAATTTTCTTTAGCAACATGCATCCGGATATAATTGCGTAGCCCAGCACATCAAAAAACGAAGAAGGAAGTACAATTTTCCGAAACTTATGTAATTTTCCAAAAGTTATAGGTAAGGATTTATGTGCATATTAACGCTACATATATATTAATACATGTTACTTTGCAGGTTGCCTAGATGGCACTCGTGTAACTATTGATCCTCCTGGAGATCGTAAGGACGACTACATTGACAGAAAAGGAAATATTTCATTATGCTTGCAAGCCATCTGTGATGAAAACAAAAAATTTATTAGCATATTTGTCGGACATCCAGGCTCCTGTCATGACAGTTGGGTCTTACAAAACTCGCCTATTTATATGCGACTACCATCGAAGTGTGGAGGTAAGTTCTTTGGAAAAAGAAATGAGATTTATTAAAACCTCTTACGTTTACGGAATACTATCTACTGGCTGATTCCGCATAATCCTGTACACAACATATCATTACACCATATAAAGACAACGGGCGTCTTACTCGTGCACAAAAGAATTTTAATAGAAAATTGGGATCAGGTCGAACTATTAGAAAATGCATTTGATATTTTATTGTTTTGTATTTTGATTCTTATCAGCTTACAGACCCGAACAATTAAACGCATTTATTTAAAAATGTTGGCAAATATTTCGTTCTTTATTAAGAACTTCATCAGTGCTATATAATAACAAACATTAATTTAAAGATAAAATACTAACATCCAAATATATATACCTTATTTTTTATAAAATGCAATAATTTTCCTGTTCCACAATAGTCATTAGTAATTAAAATTGTATTAACCAATAAAAATAAAAAATTAAAACAATTAAAATTCACACATTAAAAATTAATAAACAATTTTTGGACATAAATAACGAGCATAACAAAACTAAAAAATTTTTTTAATATTAATATTCCGCCAAAAATATTGATAATAATAAACGTTCTCTTTTTTATATCTCTTATTACTCAATAAGAAACTTAACAGCTGACTTTTATTTTCATTTATCTCTTATTTTTGATTAGCTTGTATTTATCCAATAAATTAGAGTAAAGTGTGCTAAAATTATCCGTGTCTCTCTTGTAGTTTACCACCTGTTCATTATTTAATATGATGTGAATAACTTCACTCATTAATCTTTTATGATAATTATTTTCAATTTCCAGAATTATTACTTCATCAAAGTTAAAGCTATGTCCTTTAGAAATAGAATGTTCAGAAAGAGCTGTTTTTTTCCCATCATCTTTACGTTTACACGTACTTTTATGTTCACCAACTCTTTTTGCCAATCTTTGTTTGGTTGTGCCTATATAAGCTCTATTGCAATCATTACAATTGATCTTATAAATAAGATTTGACAAATTTTCTTTCTTTTCTTTGTCTTTAATCTTTGAGAATAAATTTCCTGTTGTTTTCAAGTTGTAAAGTACAATATCAATTATTTCCTCTTGTTTAAATAATTTGACTATTGTGGAACAGGAAAATTATTGCATTTTATAAAAAATAAGGTATATATATTTGGATGTTAGTATTTTATCTTTAAATTAATGTTTGTTATTATATAGCACTGATGAAGTTCTTAATAAAGAACGAAATATTTGCCAACATTTTTAAATAAATGCGTTTAATTGTTCGGGTCTGTAAGCTGATAAGAATCAAAATACAAAACAAAAAAATTTAAACAGACGATAAACTCCATCATATCAATTTGATATTTTAAAACAACATTTTAGACAGCTGTACTACTGAAAATTGAAAGGAATTGAAAAACTGTGTCACTTTATAAGAGCATGTTGCGTTTTGCACAATCTTGCAAATGAAAACGACTTAGAATTCACATTTTCAGAAGAATCTGTGGAAGATAATGATGTCAACAACCAGATCCCTTCTAGATCAAGTATCGTTAGAGATTCAATTTGTAATGAATTACAAACAGAAAATAACTTGGATTGAAGTGTTTATTTGTATATTGCTTATTTTTCATTAATTAATTTTATAAATATTGCAATAAAGAACTTAATTGTAATTAACATATTAACATCACATTTTAAAAATATATACTTAATTCTATTTTTAAGTAGCTTTAAAATTACATTATTTAAATAAATTTTTAATTCTAACTAAACATATCATAAAGACTATAATATTAAAACTAAATATGTTTTTAACATAATGTATCCTAATAATAATAATATGTAATATTTTAAAATAAGTTTAAAAATAAATAAATAAAATATATTAATTATTTTAATCTGAAAACAATTATAAACTTTACATTTTCTTATAAATCACATGAAATGAATATTTATACTTTTTTACAATTTCTTCCAGCAGCCCCAGTTTTCTTTCTTCAATATTTACCAGTCTTTCATTGTTTTCCTGCAATATTCGTTCAACATTTTTATAATGTTGTTGACGGTCTTCCCTCATGCCGGCCAATATTGCTGTTGCACCACCGGTACGACGACTGGGTCTTTTCTCTATTTATAAAAAAATTTAGAAAATATTTTATAAGTAATTAAATTAAATAACAACTGATATACCTTTATCTGTGGTACGGGCTGAAACAAAGCTAGTGCTACAAGACGCGCTCTCATCCAGAGTGAACTCGGGATTAATACTCCTATTACTGGATAGTATTTCATCCAGTTCACTAAAGAAAAAGAATGCATAAAAGTTTATAAGTGTTTAAAAATGCGAATTAAAATTATGATTAATTAAAAAAAACATAATTAAGTAACACATGCAGTTCTAATAGTGTGATTTTACCTTTGGTAAGGGGAAACCATTCGATTTCTTCCAGTTTGGCTGTTGTTCAACTTAACCCTTTTATACTGTCGCTCCATAGCCCTGAATTTTGATTGCACCTACGAACAATGTGATTAAATGATCTATAACTCTTAAATTTTATTTATGTAATAGTAATATACCTGATTTGGAGTAAATAAGTAGCCTACTGCGCTCATGGATGTGGAAATAAATTTCCACATCATGGCTTTACTCCTCAACTGTCGGCATTTTCCAACCATTTTGATGTTTGTTGAAACCAGTGACAGCAACTCTTTAGTGGAATTGTGTGTCCATGTGCATTTTGGTTCTATATTTTCCTGCATACTGAACACTAATTCATCGCTCGGCCCCTCTTCAACAACAAACCACTGCGACATTTCATCAACAAGTTCATCATCTAATAGAAAATAAAATATTATTATTATAATAGAAAATTTTTTTATTAGTGTCGACCTCAATATTTATGTTTTAAATTTAGCCGGGCTTTAGGTCGTGTTTTTAAATTTTGTTTTTATATAATAATTTTTATTGTATAAAAACACAAATTTTAAATTAAATAAAATATCATATTTATTACTTTATGTAATATATTTTATTAATTAACAAATATTTCGGTCTACTTTGTAGACCATCTTCAGTGTTACAATTAATACAAATACAATTATAAAAAAAGGAAATTAAAATGTCAAAAGTCACATAGATAATAACACAAAAAACTTTTTATAAAATTTTAACGAAAATGGGAAATTAAGTTTACAGGAAGAATAAATTTTTTCAAAAAGAATTTTTTCCTTATTTTTTATAGTAAATACAATACATAAAAACAATAGAAAAATAATAAACTTAGCAATTCATTTTTAATTTCTTTAATTAAAGATCTATAAATATGTGCTAAGCCTTCCGTATCCCTCTTATGGTTTAATTGTTCACCATCTGGTACGTCAATTATATGCAGCATTTCTAGCAGCATCCTACGTTTATAATTTTTCTCTCGGTGAAGGATTTTTACATCTTCGAAGTTTGGAGTATGATTCATTTTGATGCAATGTGCTGCTAGTGCTGTTTTTTGGTCAATCGGTGTAGTGCGACTCTTTAAATCATGTCTGTGTCCAGCGATCCTCGTTCTTAATTTGTTTACAGAATTCCCTGTGGAGGTGACGGAGCCAACATATGCCAACAGGTATATGTTGGCACAACCAAAAACAAATTAAGAACGAGGATCGCTGGACACAGACATGATTTAAAGAGTCGCACTACACCGATTGACCAAAAAACAGCACTAGCAGCACATTGCATCAAAATGAATCATACTCCAAACTTCGAAGATGTAAAAATCCTTCACCGAGAGAAAAATTATAAACGTAGGATGCTGCTAGAAATGCTGCATATAATTGACGTACCAGATGGTGAACAATTAAACCATAAGAGGGATACGGAAGGCTTAGCACATATTTATAGATCTTTAATTAAAGAAATTAAAAATGAATTGCTAAGTTTATTATTTTTCTATTGTTTTTATGTATTGTATTTACTATAAAAAATAAGGAAAAAATTCTTTTTGAAAAAATTTATTCTTCCTGTAAACTTAATTTCCCATTTTCGTTAAAATTTTATAAAAAGTTTTTTGTGTTATTATCTATGTGACTTTTGACATTTTAATTTCCTTTTTTTATAATTGTATTTGTATTAATTGTAACACTGAAGATGGTCTACAAAGTAGACCGAAATATTTGTTAATTAATAAAATATATTACATAAAGCAATAAATGTGATATTTTATTTAATTTAAAATTTGTGTTTTTATACAATAAAAATTATTATATAAAAACAAAATTTAAAACCACGACCTAAAGCCCGGCTAAATTTAAAACATATAATAGAAAATTATTTAATGAATTGCGATTTACAATGTGTAAATACAATTTCTTGCCATTTTGCAATTGCAAAAAAGTTGTTGGTGAACATGAAATAATTGTTCTTTCCTCCATTTCGTCTGTAACACAAAATTAAATTTTTATAATAAATTTATATAACAGCACTCTAACTCAGTTTATTAAACCAAAATTTAAATTTAAATAAATTAATTTTAAATAATATTTAAAAATATTTGTGCTTGTTGTTTTGAAATTTCTTTGGTTTTCAAAATGTATTTTGTCTGTTATTTTTCAATTTCTATTTCTACTGTTCTGTTTTTCAAAAAATAACTGTTCTCATCAGACTTTACACAAAGCTATTCCATGAAAATCTGTGTAAAGAGCGTAATCTGGCACTTTATTTGTCTTACGCTCTCAGTTTGTACTTTACTTCTGTTTTACTCATGTTTTACAATGAGTAGCTCGTAGAACAGACCTATCAGCTGTATAAATGTGCTCATTATAATGTAAACCGTCACCCATTACTATAAATTAGCAAGTACTTAAATAAGATAGTATTAAATTACTATAACACAAGTATTTGTCTTGTAAAACCTTTCATGGTATCAAGCCAATTTGATAACTTACTTTCCACATCATCATCGTCAATCATATTGCGTTCATCATATAAGGCCCGTTTCCCACTATCGGTAAGGACTTGATATAGCTTTGATAGCAATTTAAACTTCTCCGTAGCAGTTTCCTTTTCATTGTTTGCAACTCGGTCTGGATGTACTTTCAGAGACAATTTATAGTATGCTTTCTTAATTTGATTATCCGTGGCAGTTTTCGGTATATCAAATAATTTATAAATATCTCTGGTACCAAACAACTTTTCACATAATTCTAAAGTGGACATTTTCACAGCACTTCTCCGAACTCTTTTTCGTTAAACAAAACAATGTAATTGCAAGCGCGCCAATTAGTGTCGATAAACATGCGACTACTTAAACTTGATTTAGTGTTGCAGCCAAAGCAGCTGTCAGAGAATACATGCAGGGAAACCGAGTGCTAAGATATGTCAATTGAATTGTTTAATATGTAACTATATTTATGTTATTGTCTATTATATTTGCTAATAATTTAGTTAAAATAATTATAACTAGAGCATATAATCAAATGATAAGAAAGCTAATGCAGATAACTTCAAATTTCACGTATACTGTAAATTTAAATGATCAAAGCATACAAAACGTAATTTTAATATTGTATAATAACACAAACAAATGTTAAAATATATATTTTGTAACAGGACCAAACCAAGATTTTCAATTACAAATAAATCGTTTTTATAATATTTGTACAAGAATCAATTTAACATTAGCTTTGGTAGAAATATTTTTGGTTGCTTTGTTGTCAAAATTAACTATTATTAAAACAATTGATTGTAGTGTTATGTTCAGACCGCCAAATTTCCTTAATTTCGTATAAATGAAATTAAGGTAATTTCGAAAGCGTTCATACTGCCCCAAATTAAGAAAATCATATATTTTTTGTTTACAAATCGAATATTAAAAATTACATGTTCCAAACACCATTTGTACCTGGGAAATTTTGAAAGTTGATTGTTATAACTATAAAGGATGGTATTCAGTAGTTTTATTAGCTTTAATGGATTTCAGGTATGTGAATTATTATTTTTCACTCTATTTTAAATTAATAAAAGTTCAAATTTAAAAATATTAACTACTTTCAAAATATTTCCCAGTTTTATTAAAATCAACTGTCATTGACATTTATTTAAAAAAACTGTCACTTGTTTGTTATCACAAACAAATTTATTTAATCTTATGCATTTCAAACGTCTCTTAATTTCAGCCTTCGTTTCAACGAAATTAAGGCCAATTTCCTTCATCACGTGCTAACTTCAAAACAGAATTTTGAATGGAAAACATTTTAACTTCACTGAAACGAAGATGAAATTAAGATTTTTCGAAGTTAAGGTGTGTCTTAACATAGTGTTTTATTTAAACAGAGAAAATAGGTGTGTTTGCGTGCGCAATCAATTGTACTTTTGTATAAGTTGTGATGTAGGCCGCATATTATTAAGAAGTAGAGTCTCCAATGAGTGAGACATAAGATAATGATATTAGTAAAAATCAGTAAAAGTTATACTATGTTCAGAGATAGTAAATTTCTTTTTGTTTTTCGTTGGCACTGTTGTACAGTATTAAGACCGGTATTCTTCACTATCTGCTCCCAGATAGTTGTTTGATACTGTTTGCATCTTCCAGTTGATGTTTTTGTTATTGTAACCCGCGGAGATCTTGAAGCAGATAACATGAAAGGTTTTAGAAGACAAAAGTGTTTCCTGTAAAATACCATAACCAAGCAATACCTCCTTGCGTGCTGCACAGATGACCATTCCAATTGCGTCATGTTGAGTAAAGCTCTCTCTCCAAGATGCATTCGTCGATCCATTTCTTTATGTCATAGGTATATTAATACCTTTTGTAATGGAGCTAACGCTAGTGACGTTGAATGCTTCTCTCAGGGAGAACGACGACTTCCCCGTACAGCAAAAGCTATCCTACCTCAATTGAGATCAGGATATAACCATATGCTAAACAGTTATTTGTGACGCATGAATGTTATCCTGCTCAACTGCACATACAAACCATAGTCCAATTGACCACTGAAATGGCCAGGTTTCTTCGTATTGATTCTGGTTGATTTCAATTTAAGTTCCAACCATTCCCCATTCACCCCTAAATACTCCTACTTCCACTCATCCACATCTGAATCCATGTATCCGTCACGTAATTACTTCATATTATTATGCTTTTAATATCCATACAATAACAACATGCCAATTATTGCCATCACTTACAATTGTTTCTTAAATAAATGAACAAAAAAAAAACAAAATAAATATTTTAATACATTTTAAAATTGATTTAATAAAAAAATATTTAAAATTCGTAAGTTAAAATGTTGTACACTTTAGTAGAAAACTTAGTTTGAAGGAAATGCTTGTTGTTTAAAATTAAGTGTATTTACATACTTTCACTTGTGTTCCTAACTTTCGAACACTATTTTTTTATATCTTAATTGATAGCAGTAATTTGAAAACAAATTCAGAATCAAATTCTAACTAGTTGGATTTGGTTGTACTTCATCTTCAGTTACATCCTCCTGGTCTATTTCCATAGCTCTGCTTTCAGTTTCGATTTCAAAATATTCGGTTGCATCACAATTATTTCTCAAGTTTTCCTGTAATTCGTTGAGTTTATCAAAATACTGTATTGCACCTGACACAGCAAATGGTGGTATATTAAACATCGGATGTGTGGGCATAAGCTCATTAATAGGATCACCCAATACTTGTGGATTTAAATTAAATTCTGAATGTTGAGCAATAGATACTCCGCTAAGCGTGTAACAGGTGTGGTAAAGATCTTGTGGTCTAAAAGACAAATTATTCTTACAAATTTATGTATATATACTAGAACATACTTTCCAGGTTTATCTATTAAACCTCCACTTTTCTTTTGACAGCATAATAATATGTATTCCTGTAGTGCACCAGCATCATAAATTGATTGTGTTAACTTTTTACCTAATAACGCAACATGCAGTTTTTGCACAAAATAAATCATTTTCGAATATTCTTACTTTTATTGATAATTGCTTGCGTAATTAATATTGACGCACCAACCCAAAAAGAATAACACCCGTCAACTAGTTTATTTGTACGACCTTGAAATCCACCTTCATAACTCATTTGTCGTTGCAAGTTCCATTTCTGAAATAGTAAATTAATTAAATTTTCATTTAGCATTGTAATTTTATTTATATGTTTAGGCGGCATTTTTCTTGCTTGCTCATTAAAATAGTTTATCTGCATTACCAATAACATTTCAGTATCACATTTATCAGTTTCGTTTAGAAGAGCTAAGGCTGCAATACCACAATAAGTGTAGCCACCATGTGCTTCTAAGTCCGGTGCACCTCCAAATCCTCCTTCGTACGTTTGACAACTTGATATCCAAGCTCCCGTTTTATCAAAAAGCTTCTTCATAACATTTTCTGGCAATTTAGCAAGACTTGCACATACTATAGCACAATAAGCACCACGCACATCAGTCTCTCCATCAACATGTAGGCGAAAGGCACCATTCGGTTCGCGCACAGAAAATAAAAATTTCGTTAAAGAGTCTCGGTCTATGCCAACATAAGCGCTATTTGTTCCAATCATACAAAGGCAGTTTATAGCTGCGTAACTTGTTGCTAAATGAGGAAATTGTCCTGGACCACCTGCAAAACCTCCATCTTTACTGCGACATCTAAAGTTAACTGTTAGTTACCATTAGCTACTATAAATAATATTACTTTAGTTACTTGATTAAAAATTGTACAACGTCTTCTAAAAGCTCATCGGAGAAGTTTAAACTAAGCATATTTGATGCTTGAAGAATCCAATATAAATTCCATGGTCGGCTACTATCTAAACATTCATAATTGTTTGGCAAGCGGTGAATCATACTTTCCAACATGCGCTGATGTTCCTCTCGATAGAATTTAGCTACTTTTGGATCTAAATATCTTAGCTGTTGAAATCTATCAAAACATTTCTCAATAGAGTTTTCAGTTTTTTTCTGTTAACACATTCAAATAATAAATATTTAGTACCCGTTATTCAAAAAGTGAATTACTGACCTGATCTCTGGAAGTAACCGTCGATACTTTCTCATCATCAAATTTATAAACTTTTGCTTCTATGAAATTTCGGAACTTCATTTCTGGCGAATTATCCATATTATTAACAACTAATTTTAACTAAACTAAAAACCTAATTAGTAGATTTAATAACAACAAAAACAAAAGTGTGAAATTATTTGACACATTTATTTTTAACATTAAGAAAAGAACAGTGAGAGTCGCGGAACACATGTGCAAATTTAAAAAAAACTGTTCGAACACAAGAAGATAAGCTGTAAAATTTCTATTAGAATAATCAAAGTGTTATAAACATATATTGGTGTATTACGATATCAACATATGTAGGTATACGAGCTGGTCGTTTCGATTAATAATAATATTTGAGATGTGGAATTTGCAGTCATATTCTAACAGATCTAATAAAGTCAACAAATTTCCGTTTGACAGAAATACAATTTGACATATTCATATTCAAATTCTACATATGTTCTGAAACATATACTTAATTATAAATTCACCATATACTGAAGAGGTGAGTTTTTAAAATGATTCCACATTAGGTTTGTTTTATATGTCAAAAGGTTTTGAAATGAAAAAGAATAGCTACTTATTGTACAAACAAAAGATGTTTAATTTGTGGAATTATATAATTATGTTGAAATTTTTGCTTATAGTATTAATTGCAATAAATTTTATTTATTGTGCGATTGTAATTAATAAAATTGTGGTACGAGTGCCTAAGGAAGATGATATTGGATTGATATTTGGTAAAACTCTTAAAAGTGATTCATAAGTCTAAAATTTCTCTATGACAATTTTGCTAATATATTTATTAAATATAATCAGATATGATTTTAAACAGTCTCCAAATCTTTTATATAATATTTTGTATTGTATGTTATAAAGATTTATATATATAAAGTCCCACATTGATTACGGTTCTGAATTGCTTTACGCCTTGTCAAATACAAAATAGTATAGTATGGTATAGTCAATTAATGTAGAGTATAGTAAAGAGTTTTATAATTTACGAATACTTTAAAATAGTTAAGTATCAAGTGGTACAATGTAGGATAATATAACCATTTATCCCTTTACCTTTAAGATCTTTGTGTGGCAAATACTGATATGAATAATAAAAAAGAAATGTTAGAATTTCGCATACGTTCCGATGGATCATGTTGTCTTAATATATCGGATGGTAAAATAATGACAGATGTAAATGTTGATTATTTAAATGTCTCAATTACAGGATTTTATTAATAAATAAATTTAAGGCTAGCAGAATAGTTGGTGGGAATTTTGGTTCAATAGAAGCAGGTGCTGTTGAGACAGTATCACTCATATGGCCGACTGTGGTACTGAATTATTTTTGAATTGAATTATTGTGGTATTTTTGAATATTTACTTGCTTCAATTAATATTGAATTTTTCAGTCACTTTATAATCGTGTGGGATTTTGTCCAATTATTATTGTTTCTATAAATGCCAACGACGAACAAAAGAAATTTAAACATATGCTGCACTTTGATACGCGGTTTGCTACATTAGATCCAGAAGGACGCACCTTGCGGAGACGTAATATAGTAAACAAAAAACTGTACGGCTTAAATATGTCAATGTTTTTTATAGATAAAAATTATAAGGATTGTAAAAATTGGGATAAGGAATACTTAAAAAATTGTACTCCAGTTAACTGTGAAGAGCGATATTTTGGTCGTCGTAATTATTATAATCATACTTCTGAGCAATGCGAAGAAGTGCCCCGTTGCGCCGAACACATTGAAGTAAGTTGTATAGTTCTTTTTTATATATGCATATGTAATATAAAAATGATTGAGCTAATAATTATAGATTTACGATATTTATGGCAATGAATGCA